CTCCTCGGTGCGATTTGCCGCGCCACTGAAGCGAGAAGTGAGGAGAAAGAAAGTAAGTGAAAGAAAGTTGTCTTTCTCTTTTAAGTCGTTTCCTGAGGTGGTGGTCGTGGTGGTAAGGTGTCTGAAATGTTTGAGTCAGCAGCAGCAGTAGCAGCTTTGAAAGGGAGAACTCTCATATTCAGTGAGGATAATTGCAAACTTTTGCCATTGTTCACAGTCACAGAGAGAAAAGAAAAGAAAGTTGGAAAGCAGCCTTCTCAATTGCTCATTTCCCTTTCTTTCACTCTTTCTTTGTGTGTTCAGTGTACGGTGCGATATCGATATCAGAGGTTGACACTAACGAAGAAGAAAAAGTTTGGCTAAACACTAGTTACCATTGTAAACATGGGTCATCATCATCATTTTCAGAAGCAGCAGCAGTAGTAGTAGTACTTTTTTTTCATTAATTAAGAAGAAGAAGAAGTTCATCAACCTCATCAAATCATGTCACATTTCGACTACAAGCCAAAGGACCTCTGTCTCCTCCTCTTCATCCTCGTCGCCTTTTTCATCATCCTCAGCAATGGTCAACCTCAACCTCCATCCTCGGATCCGAATCAATTCGATCAAATACTTCGAGATTTGGACATGCTCACGAGGCAGCAGCTTGCCTCGCAGGCCGCCGTCGAAACGAGTACCTCCTCCTCCTCGACGACGACTTCGACGACAACTCCTTCAAGCTCCCAACGATCATCCAATCCGATCACCAAACGACTGCCCACCTCGTTGGTGAAGAACTCCCCTTCAGGTGGTGGTGGCTCCTCAGCGGCCCTCTTATCAGGCGGAGTTGGGAGTTCGGCGAGCAATCTAAAGAAGGCCTTCACTTTACCGCCTGCCTACGATCCAAACCGCCTGCCTCGCTTCAGTCGTATAAAACCGCTGCTTCTGGGCGTCAACATGACCATACTGCACATCAACGTTGATAAGCACGAGGTAAGAGGATCTTCTTATCAAAATTAAAAATTTTTCAATTTTTAAAACTCTTTTTACTAGAGCACCATCAACCTGGACGTGGAGATTGTGGAGAGCTGGCGCGACAAGCGACTTCGCCTTCGAAAGACCTCCGCTGATAAGTCCGGAGAACCGGAAGACGACTTTGCCTCGGCTGAAGAGGACGATGACGAGGTGCGAGATGGGCGTGGCAAATCGGAGAGCTACCTTCTGGAGCCAGCCAGCTGGGCGGCCCGTCTCTGGCATCCGGTGGGTCGTCTTCAGGGAAACGCCCAGGTGGTGGTCCCCTTTACCAGCATTCCACCGCCAAATTCGGTAAAAGAATCGCCTGATTCTAAGGACGGCGCTTCCGCTTCCGGTGAGGTAGCTTCCGCCTTGGTGGGCAGTGCCAGCAGCCTGAATCAGCTGCAGAAAACCATCGAACAGGAGGCACTGATGCGAAGCATCGTGGTGACCAGCAACGAGACGACGGCGCAGCTGTGGCTCTCGTTGAAGGTTCGAATTAGGATTCCAATGTACGAGTGTGCCCGGGACGACAGCAGCCTCTATCCCTTTGATAAGGTGCGCTGTACCCTGAGTATTGCCAATGGTAAGGAGTTCAGTTGGGATCGGGAGGTATTTTTGGGGAAAGATTTTAATGATTTTTGTTTACCCTCTTTTCCCAGTCATCTACGACCGCCGAAACCTGCAGTACCGCTGGGAGCACATCAACTGGCTGTCGAGTGGCTACCAAACGGGGGAGTTCTACCTCCGAGCTCTGGAGCACTCGGTGACCAGTGAACGACTGCTGGATTTAGGTAAGAAAGAGAGATAAGGTTTAAACCTTTGAAAACCTTCTAAATTCTAGAACTTTTCTTCTTTAGACCAAGACCACAGCGAGCACTCCACACTTCGCCTGGAGATGCTCCTCCGCCGTCAGATCGGCGACTACGTCCTCAACGTCTACCTCCTCCATCTCTTCCTGCTCGGCCTCTGCGTGGCCAGCTTCTGGATCAGCATCGACAACATCGTCATTCGCATGTCCCTCTCCATCATCGTGCTGATCATCATCAAATTCCAAACGATCCAAACGCTGGGCAAGGACGACAGCCGCCACCAGCTGGTGAGCGCCCTCAGCATCTGGACCTTTGGCCTCAGTGTTCTGGTCATTCTCAGCCTGCTCGCGCACATTCTCTCCTACTACTCGGTGCAGCACGAGTGGAATGACAAGATACTGAATCGGCTGGTGGTGGATAGAAGTGGTGGAGGTGGAAAAAATGGAAGAGGAAGAGGAGGTAATGGACTTCATCGAGGGACCTCGATTGGTTCAGGTGGAGGAGGAGGCGTGGCGGGAAGTCGAGGAGTGTACACCCTTTCACGAAGAGATCGAGGAGAAGATGGTAGAGATGGTAATGGTAATGAGATGGTGGAGAATCCTTCCGTCTCCTCGGTGGAGTCCTCCTCCTCGGCCTCGGTGCCCATTACGATGCCTCCGCTGCCGGCGACGCCCGGCGAAGAGCCCGAAGGTCAAAGCCCGATCAGGCAGCGCTGGGCGAAGGTGAAGCAGAACTGCCTCATCTGGCTCAACTCCATCATCCTCAGCCACTCGCGCAAGGACGAGGGCTACGACCGCATCAACCTGGTGGACATTATTGCCCGCGTCCTCTTGTTGATCATCTACCTGCTCTTTGTGCTGATCTACTTCTTTACCTACGTTTTCTAGCTGTTTATTCTAGTTGTTGTTCTACTACTACTCAATATGATTAAATCTAAGCGATCTTGTTGGTGCAGTTGTGGTGGTGGTGGTGGTGGTTAATCAGAAGACAGTTTTGAACACAGTGGAAAAGAAAACAGAAAAGTTGTAAGTAGAGAGTTACTCCTGACGGGCAAAGACGCCACCGGCGAAGGCGACGGAGGTGGCGAGGAGGAGCGCCAGCAGCGCCGAGACGATGATCACCACCTCCAGGCGGTTGCAGGAGGCGGTGAGGAGGTGCTGGAGCCATTTGGTGCTGGGCACTTCGGCGCTTCCGTCTGAGTTTTCGGCGACGGGAGTTAATGGAGCAGAGCTTGGAGTGTAAACAGCAGCAGCTGGAGCGACTGGCGAAGGCGAGAAGGTAGCTTCGGAGGGGGTGACGTCCAGCAAATCGGTGGTGGCGGTGGTGGCTCGACTTTCAACAGGCTCATTGGCTGTCGAAATCAACAGCGGCCCCGGAGAGGAGGCCTCCGGGGCATCATCGGTCACTTCCACCCGCTTGAAGGCGACCTTCATCTTCTGCTCCAAGACAGGACTGGTCGATTCGATGAAGAGGGCGGCGGGGTTCTCCTCCTGAAAGGGCGATGCTTCAGAGCTTTCAGAGGTGTCCAAAACGTCGGCGTTGACGGCTCGCCACTTGAAGAGCAGTGCCTGGCGGCTGGTGAGCAGCTGCTGGAGAGCCTCCTCGGCGTTGGGCAGGGCGCGCAGGGTGACCTTCACCGAGGTGGACTGGCCAGGGGCGAGGAGGGCGTAGTTGGGGCGGACGGTGTAGCGACGAGGATCGGTGAGCATCACCTTGAAGACGATGGTCTGCTGGTGTGATGAACGAGCATCCCCTGATGTGATCATCGGATTCTCCACGGTGATGCAGGTGTACAGGTCTTGGAGGAAGGAGCCTGCAAGAGAAATAGAAATAGAAATAGAAATTGGATGAGGATTCAATGACGCAATTCTTACCCGTAAAGAGAACCTCCTTCTCCGGCGAGAACTTTAGCGCCACTTTGTCCTCCTCGTTCTGCTTGGGAGAGGGAGGCGGAGAGAGGATGCTGATCATGTTGATGCAGAAATAAAAGGAGAATCTTGTACAAGTGTGTTGATAAGTTTAGGAACTTTTTTGATAAACGACTCAGCAAAAAATCAGAACTTTTTCAAACTCTGCGCCGGCTACGTTCATCCAGGTGGTCGCCGTCTGCCAGAGAGAGAAAAAGTGGCAGCTGGGTGACAATAGCCGGAGAAAAAGCACAGGCAAAGGCAGGCGCCGGCAGCAGCCTGCAGAAGCCACAACAACAGCAGCAGCAAATCTGCATCTTTTTGCTGACGCCAGATTATCGTTTCTCCGGAGAACGTCGACAGAACGTCGTGATCATCATCATCACCACCACCATCACCACCAGCACCACCGTCTTCAAGTCGCTGAAGACGTCGATCGACGGACGAGCTTTTAGCGTTTAGCCTCCTGAAAGCTTATAGCGTACTGTTTTAGAGCCCGACAAAAAGGTCACAACAACAGCACTGCCAACGCGTAAGAATCCTAGCTTAGATCTCTCGTTTCTATTTAGTGTCTCCTAAGCTAACCCTGGTCCCTCCCTTTCCACCAGATTCCTACCAGGAAAGGACACGATGACAATGGACGAGCTGAGGACCGGCTCCACCACCAGCTTTGCGGCCTTTCTCCAGCAGAGAGCTAGCAAGCGCAAGAAAAGCAGCAACACGGCTGCTTTAGCCGCCGTTGCGACGGCCAACTCTTCCGCGGCAAACAACAGCCGTCACAAACTTCTATCTTCAAAGCTGCTCAAACAGCAATCCAACAGCAGTTCAGTTGCTGCCAACAATCTCAATGTTGGAACCAGCAATAACAGCGGATTCGGTGGCCAGGAGCCACAGTTTACGCGTTCGCAGGAGATTGAGCTGAAGCTAAACTGCGCCTCGATGGAGTACCGCCTGCCGCGCTTCGAGACCTTGGTAGAGCACCTGCAGAGCCGCAAGATGAGAGCCCTCGAGGAGGCGGTGGGCGGCTTCGGCGGCAGCGACCTGACCAACACTGACCAGACGCCTTCGAAAAAGGGCGCCAGCTTTTTCGACAAGGACTCTCTGTGGAACAACAGCAGCCCAACTCCTGCCTTCGACCAGGCAGACTTTGACCTCGACGGCATCGTCATCACCTCCTCCAGCAAGAACCGCCGTCCTTCGCGCGCCGACGAGCTGCAGCAGCTCTTTGCCACGAAGAACTACGACCTCCTGCTGAAGGAGCTGCTGCCTCTGGTCGCTCAGCTGCTGAACCTGGTGGAAAGCAGCGGCAATCAGCACATCGTCGAGGGGGCGGCCGTCTACCTCCTCTGGGTCTTCTTTGACGCCTCCAGCCTGAACCACCTAGCGAACAGTGGAAACAGTGGTAGCAATGGTACCACTCAGCAGCAGCAGCAGCCCCAGCAAAACCAAAACCTGCAAAGCCTCGGCCTGGGTTTGGGAATGTTTGGCCCGGCGGGAATGGGCGGCAGCAGCAGCAGCTCAAACAACAACAACAGCAGCAGCTCGAACCACTTTGGCAACTCCAAAAACTCCAACAATAACTCCAATTCGAACAGCTCGAGCAGCACCTTCAGCAGCATCGCCACCATCAACCTGGCCGCCCTGGGCGCCAACTACCCCAGCCTGGAGTACCTCTTCTGCCTTGACTCGCTGAACGGCGGCATCCTCGAGCGGATCGGCTACGTCGCCCGCTCGCTCTTTGAGCTGATGGAGCCCGTCTACCTGAACACCGTCTTCTACCACGCGTCGATGATTCGCAAGGCGGCGAGGGATGTGGAGGCGCAGGAGGTGCAGCAGCAGAGCACTCCTTTGCAGTCTAACAATGGCGGCGACCAAAACGGTGCTGCTGCTGCTCAGGAGCAGGAGGACTGGTTCAGTCGACTGGAGCAGAAGCTGCTCGGCTCGAAGAAGACTTCTACGGAAGATGAAGAGGAGGAAGTGGCTGGAGACGAGGTCGACTCGCCTGTTTCTTCCTCCTCCTCCTCCTCGCCCTTCACCGTCGACCCCTTTGAGAACGACGTCTACAACTTCTTTCCCCTGAACGGCGAAGACCGCCGACTGGTGGAGAAGTCCGCCGGCACTGCCTTCTCCACCCACTTCAACTTTGAGCACCCCAACGCGGAGTTTGTCTTTCAGGCGCTGCTCAGCGGTGGCCGCCTGCCGCCTCTTCCTGCAGACATTGCCAACCTAAACCTTAACGGGTCAACAGCGGCGGCAGCAAATGCTCAAGGAGAAGTGGGAGGTAGTGTGAAGTTTCCCGAGCAGCAGCGGAAGCAGTTTGAGGCGGTCAGCGAAGTGGAGGACGCTTCGATTTTCGCCTCCCAGCAAACCTCTTCTTCAACAGGAGGATCCTCGGCGGAGGACGCCATCGGCCTGCTGTTCAGCGAGCTGGCCACCTTCATCGCCACCTACAACTCCACCCACCTAGGCGAGCAGTACTACCTCTCCCACGAGGAGCTCTTCAACACCGTCCTCAGCTGGATCATTGACCAGCAGCAGGGTCAGCAAGGTCAACAGGGATTAAAAAACGGCGACGAGACGCTGGGCACCGAGCTGACGAATCTGCTGGGCGAGGACTCCGCCTCGCTGATCACCAAGATCATCACCGTGTACAAGCCGGCGATTCTCAAGTCCTCCAGTTCGCTTTCCGGCACTTCTGCAGCAGCAAAGAACGTCAACAACAGTGGGCGAAATAACAACAACTCACTGGAACGGGCGGAGACCCTCTGGCGGAAGGTGTGCCAGGCAAAGGGCCTCCAGGGGTCTTCAAACAATGCCACCAACGTCGGCCCCACCAACCTCGGCCCCTCCATCGTCGTCCACACCGAGAAGGAGAAGGTCCTCAAGAAGGAGATGCGCAAGATTGAGAAGAAGTTCAACAAGGAGCTGAGCAAGGCTGCAAAACTGACTGGGGCCGATGAGCTCGCCGCCGAATCCGAGGCCCTCACCCTGGCCGACCTGGAGCGCATGCGAGAGGCGAACCTCAAGGCGAACATTCGCGCGGCCCTCGAGCCCAAACTGAAAGAGGACGACCTACGCCCTGCTCGGGAACCGATTGAGCAGTACCCGCACGTCTACGACCTCCTCCAGACGATCAAGACGACGGCCAGCTACGTGGGCGACTCGAAGCTCCTCCTGCCCCTCGGCGTGGAGAAGAAGGACCACCGAACGCACGAGGAGGTGGCCATTCCGCTGATCTCAAGCAACGAGGCCACCAAGGCCTTCCTCTCCACCTTTCCATCGATTGCCGTGGCCGACGCGGACGAGTTTGTCCGCACCGGCTTCCAGGGCTTCACCCGCCTCAATCTGATTCAGTCGACCGTCTTCCAGACCGCCTACCAGTCGGACAACCAGAATATGCTCATCTGCGCGCCGACGGGCGCCGGCAAGACCAACATTGCCATGCTGGCGGTGCTGAACATTCTGAAGAACTACTCGGTGGATGGAGTTAGTCCGAGGGGAGGCCTGCAGCTCGACCAATTCAAGATTGTGTACATTGCGCCGATGAAGGCGCTCTGCGCGGAGATGACCGCCAGCTTTGGAAAACGGCTCGCTCCGTTTGGGGTCAATGTTCGCGAGCTGACCGGCGACATGCAGCTAACCAGTAAGGAGATTCTGGAGACGCAGATGCTGGTGGTGACGCCGGAGAAGTGGGACGTGGTGACGCGGAAGTCGGTAGGCGATGTTCAACTGCTCGACCTGGTCCGCCTGATTATCATCGACGAGGTGCATCTCCTTCAGTCGGATCGAGGACACGTCCTGGAGACGCTGGTCGCCCGAACGGTTCGGTACGTCGAACAGGCGCAGAAGTGCATTCGCCTGGTGGGCCTCAGCGCCACGCTGCCCAGCTACCTCGATGTGGCCCGCTTCCTCCATGTTGACCTCTACCGGGGGCTGTTTGTCTTTGACGAGCGCTTCCGGCCGGTCCCCCTGCAGAAGTGCTTCATCGGCGTGAAGGGGCAGAACAAGCAGCAGCTCAACTCGGACATGGACGAGATTACCTTTGGAAAGGTGCGGGAGATGCTGGTGGCGGAGGAGCAGGTGATGGTCTTTGTTCACTCGCGCAATGCCACGCTGAACCTCGGGGGATTTCTCATTGAACGGGCGCAGTACGCGAGGCCTGAAGAGGACGGAGGTATGGGAAGTTCTTCTTCCTCTTCTTCTGGAGCAGCCACCAACATCGCCTCGCTCTTCAAGGCGGACACTGAAAAGCTGGCCTTCAGCGAGAAGCTGATCAGCCGCGCCCGCTACCGCAACCTCAATCGGCTGCTGCTGAACGGCGTGGGAGTTCATCACGCAGGAATGCCCCGGGCGGAGCGGAACATCGTCGAGAAGCTCTTCAGGGCGGGGGTGATCAAGGTGCTGGTCTGCACCAGCACTCTGGCCTGGGGCGTCAATCTGCCGGCGCATGCGGTGAGTTTTTGGCTTTTGGAACTTTTATTTTTTACTATTAAAACTTTTCCCACCCCTCCTTAGGTCATCATCCGCGGCACCGAGTTCTACGACCCCGCCGCCGGCCACCTCGTCGACCTGGACATGCTCGACGTGATGCAGATCTTCGGGCGAGCCGGCCGACCGCAGTACGACACCAGCGGCCTGGCCACGATCATCACCACGCACTCGAAGCTCGCCCACTACCTGAGCATGCTGACCAACCAGCTGCCGATTGAGAGTCGCTTTCTGAAGCGCCTCACCGACAACCTCAACGCGGAGATTGTCCTCGGCACGGTGGGGAACATTGGCGAGGCGGTCGAGTGGCTGAAGTACACCTACGCGTACATTCGCATGGCGAAGAATCCGATGGAGTACGGGCTCAGCTTTCTGGCCTCTCTGGAGCCGTCCATTATTGTCGACCACCTCTACTCGCTGGTGAGGACCTCGGCGGAGGCGCTGGACCGCGCGGAGATGGTCCGCTACTGCCCGGACCTGGAGGGCAGCCTCGATTCGACCCATTTGGGGCGGATTGCCTCGCACTACTACATTCAACATGAGACGATAGTCCATTTCAATGAGGGCCTAAGGGCTAATATGGACTTTGGCCATATCTTTGATCTGCTGTCGAAGGCGAATGAGTTTTCGCAGCTGAGGGTAAGTTTTAGTTTTTTTGTTTGTGGTTTTGACCCCTATATTTTCCTCCTTTATTTAGTTCCGTGAGGACGAGTTCAAGGACCTGGATGAGCTTCGCTTTGGAACGATCTACCACACGAAGGGAGAGATGAGCAACACGCCCACCAAGGTGAACATTCTGATGCAGGCGGCGATTAGCCGGGTGGGAACCGACTGTCACTCGCTGTCGAGTGACTTGAATTACATTCTTCAGGTATGAGAAGGGAAAAGGTTTTTTGTTTTTAAAAATTTGCTAAAAACTCCTCCTCTTTTTCCCTAGAACGTCTCTCGCCTCACCCGCGGCCTCTTTGAGTACGTGATCAAGCGAGGCTGGCCCCTTCTGGCCGAACGTTTTCTCTCGATGTCCCTGATGTTTGAGAAGCGGATCTGGTTCTTTGACACGCCCCTGCTGCAGTTTGAGTCGGAGATTCCCCATGACGTGCTGGAGAAGCTGTCGGAGCAGTTCACCAAGGGCCAGCTGCACCTGTACGACCTGCGAGAGTATTCCGCCGATGAGATTGGCGACCGCCTGCGCCACCGGAAGTCGGGGGCGCTGGTCAAAAAGTACGCCCGGATGGTCCCCAGCGTGGAGATCACCGCCACGGTGAAGCCCATTACGCGGACCATCCTCACGGTGTACCTCGATGTGAAGCCCGATTTCGTGTGGGAGGACCGGCTGCACGGGAAGACCGCCCAGCTGCTGTGGATCTGGCTGACGGACACGGCGAATAATCACATTTACCACGCCGAGCTGGGCCGCTTCACGAAGAAGCAGGTGGTCAAGGAGGAGGTGGCGCACTACGTCTTCACCATCCCGCTCCTTGATGCCAGCCATCTTCAGCAGCAGTACCTGGTGCACGCCACCTTTGAGTACTGGCTGGGGACGGACCAGGAGGTGGCGGTCAGCTGCGAGGGCATGCTGCTGCCCGACCGCCACCTCCCCAACACGCCCCTCCTCGACCTGATGCCCCTGCCGGTGACGGCGCTGCAAAACGACCTCTACGCGGCCTTCTACCGCTTCAGCCACTTTAATCCCATTCAGACGCAGATCTTTCACACCCTTTACCAGACGGACCGGAATGTGCTGCTGGGCGCGCCCACCGGGTCGGGGAAGACCGTCGCGGCGGAGATTGCCATCTTTCGGGTGTTTAACACGCAGCCAGGGCGGAAGGTGGTGTACATTGCCCCTCTCAAAGCGCTGGTTCGGGAGCGGGTCGACGACTGGAAGGTGAAGCTGGAGAGGAACTTGGGACGACGGGTGGTGGAGCTGACCGGGGACACGACGCCTGATATTGGAGCGATTCAGGCAGCGGACCTCATTGTGACGACGCCCGAAAAGTGGGACGGCGTCAGTCGGGGCTGGCCCTCGAGGAGCTACGTCCGCGAGGTGGCGCTCATTGTCATTGATGAGATTCACCTGCTCGGTGAGGAGCGAGGCCCGGTCCTCGAGATGATTGTCAGCAGGGCGAACTTTATCAGTCGAAGGACCTCTGCTTCAAGCTCTTCAGAAGCCGGCGGCCCTCGAATGCGAATTCTCGGCCTCTCCACGGCGGTGGCCAATGCCCAGGACCTGGCCGCCTGGCTTTCCATCAGCAAGGTGGGCCTGTACAACTTTAGCCCCTCAGTTCGCCCGGTGCCCATCGAGGTGCACGTCAGCGGCTTCAGCGGCAAGCACTACTGCCCGCGGATGGCCTCAATGAACAAGCCCGCCTACCGGGCGATCAAGAAGTTTAGCCCCGAGAAGCCGGTCATCATCTTTGTCAGCAGTCGGCGGCAGACTCGGCTGACCGCTCTGGATCTGATTACGCTAATTGCCGGCGATGCCCAGGGGAATGGGTCGTACCTGAGGATGGCTGGTGGGGAGGAGGAGCTGGAGGCGGTCCTTTCCATGGTCTCCGACGGTCACCTGAAGCATACGCTGCGGTTCGGAATTGGCATGCACCACGCCGGGCTGCGGGAGGGCGACCGGAAGGTGGTGGAGGAGCTCTTTGCGGCGCAGAAGATTCTGGTGCTCATCACGACGGCGACACTGGCCTGGGGCGTCAATCTGCCGGCGCATGCGGTGAGATTTTTTTAGCTTTTTTGTTTCGATTTTTTTGCTAATTTTTTCCCCTCCCCTTCTTTAGGTGATCATCAAGGGGACGGAGTTCTTTGACGGAAAGAAGGGCCGCTACGTCGACTTTCCCATCACCGACGTCCTGCAGATGATTGGCCGGGCGGGGCGGCCGCAGTTTGACACTAGTGCCGTGGCCGTTCTCTTTGTCCACGACATCAAGAAGGAGTACTACAAGAAGTTCCTCTATGAGCCGTTTCCGGTGGAGTCGCATCTGCTGGAAGTGTTTAGCGAGCACCTCAATGCGGAGGTGGCCGCGGGGACGGTCGGTTCGAAGCACGAGGCGATGGAGTACCTCGCCTCCACCTACCTCTACCAGCGAATCGTCAAGAATCCCTCGTACTATGGCGTCGACCTAACGGAAATTGGCCTGACCCAGGAAGAGCTGGCGAGGTCGGAGTTGGCGGTGAACACGGCGGTGGTCCGCTTCCTGTCCGGGTACATTGATCGCTGTGTGCGGACGTTGGAGGAGGACTACTGCCTGAGGGAGGTGGTGGAATCCGGGGAGGAGGATTCTGGTGAAGAATCTAAAGAATCCACCTCCTCCCTGGGAAGACTGGTGGCCACGCCGCTGGGGAAGATCGCCTCCTACTACTACCTCAGCCACCGGACGGTGCGCCTCTTTCAGGACGCCCTTGGCTCTATTGGAGATGGCTCCCAAAAGCCTCCCTACCTTCCGCTCCGAGAGAC